TAATATGTTCAGAGCAGGTGGAAGGTACCACTAACAAAGGTTATTTAATATGTTCAGAGCAATTTAAAAGTACCACTAACAAAGGTTATTTAATGTGTGTTCAGGACAGGTGGAAGGTACCATGAAAAAAGGTTATTAAATGTGTTCAAGACAATTTAAAAGTACCACTAACAAAGATTATTTAATGTGTGTTCAGGACAGGTGGAAGGTACTACTAACAAAGGATATTTAATATGTTCAGAACAGGTGGAAGGTACCACTAAAGGATATTTAATGTGTGTTCAGAACAGGTGGAAGTTACCACTAACAAATGTTATTTAATGTGTTCAGGACAGGTGGAAGGTAACAAATAAGAAGTTTAAAAGTTGGATATTTGTGGTTAAGATATGTGTCTAATGAATGCCTAACCTGTTTGAATGGAGGTGATGTACGGATCATCATATCTAGCTTATGGTTGGCATAGTTGATAGCTGACTGGTAGTCACCATTTTCCAGGGAATACAGACTTGCGACTCCAAGACAGCGGCTTTCAAGGTAAACAAATTCAGGTGATGTTCTAACAACAAAAGATCATTTTAAGACCATTGATGATTAAATAAGTTGTAACAACGTCAGGTGATGTTCTGACAACAAAGAATCATTTTAAAACCATTGATGTTTAAATAAGCTGTAACAACTTTAGGTGATGTTTTAACAAATTGTAACAAATTCAGGTCATGTTTTAACAACAAAAGATCATTTTAAGACCATTGATGTTTAAATAAGTTGTAACAACGTCAGGTGATGTTCTGACAACAAAGAACCATTGATGTTTAAATAAGCTGTAATAACTTTAGGTGATGTTTTAACAAATTGTAACAAATTCAGGTCATGTTCTAACAACAAAAGATCATTTTAAGACCATTGATGTTTAAATAAGTTGTAACAACGTCAGGTGATGTTCTGACAACAAAGAATCATTTTAAAACCATTGATGTTTAAATTAGCTGTAACAACTTTAGGTGATGTTTTAACAATAAAAGATAATTTTAAGACCATTGATGTTTAAATAAACTGTAACAACTTCAGGTGATGTTCTAACAACAAAAGATCATTGATGTTTAAATAAACTGTAATATTAAGAATGTTATTGCACTTCAATATTTAACATTTCCTGATAGTTTAAAATAACTTGATCTCTATAAAATATGAATATGATTACTTTGTTAAGCAGAATTAAACATTTGTATTCATTCTGTTGTTTTATTATGATTATATATAATAAACAAGAGGAAATCTTGAAAACAAAGACTTGACACAAAAAGTAACATCATCAATTCCAATATTTTTTCTATAAATATAGCTATCAATGCCGACAAATAAGTCCTAAGCCATAAAAAGGTTGAGAGCCACTGGTGCAGGTTTAAATTTTATTGCTATAATGTATAATCTACCTATCAATACTGCTAGCAATTACCTCTCCAGAGCCTTTGTTGCATAATGTATGGCATCATTGTGCTTACTGACTTCTGATAGGTTGGTACCAAGTAGTCGTAAACCTTCCTGTAAATCACACATTCCTTCGTCCATGTTCCCGAGATACAACTTTGCCTGAAGTTGATACAGGTATATATATAATAAACAGTTCTGCTATAGAACGTAAAACACAGATTTTATTAAAACATCCCCCACCTTCTAAAGTAAAACTGATAACTTATCACAAGTGGTTCTGCAGGTTTGGCTTGTCCTCAGAATCCCAAGAAATTAACACATTTGTAAGTATAATCTTACTGACCTTTATTGTAGATGTGTATATCTGTATGAGGTATAAGCTGAAATATTAACACAAGTTAGGTGTGACTCACGCTTTACAAACTAATTCTCTAAATGTTGAAAAAGAAGATTGTTGAACACTGTTCTCTGGGAAGGCGTGATTGCTATGATTTTCTTTGGAATATTTTCAAGCACTATTTTCGGGGTATTCAGACAAATTTTAACCCCTCATAAATAGATGTGAAATATGATGAAACTATTTGGAGAAAGTTAAGTAATTCTTGTAGAACTAGATTTTGAAATAAATATATAAATGTACATATAGTTCCGTCAACCTTAGATCGGTAAGATGGAGTTAAGCCTACCTTGCTGACATCTCAGACTATTCTTCATTATTGATCACATAATTAGAAACACATATGGAATGTTCACAATAATACAAAACAATCAAACAAAGTGATCAATACCTTCACAGTAGAACATGCAACAATACTCATTGTACAACAATGCTGCAACTTATATACAACAACTACATCCTACTTTCACAGGTGAATTATCTGTGTGACCAATCAGAGACAGGACCCATAGATTCAGGACCCCATTTACTTTACAATGTAAAGAATGGTTTAATTATTGTGCTATTACTAATGGATGCTCATTCAAAACAACATTTGGAATTATGTATGGGAAAAACATTTTCTGGGCAGAAAAAATGAGACTTTCTATAATTTTTGAGCAGTTTACTGAAATACTATATTTTCAAATACTTAAAACAGTTTAAAGTGTGATACACAAACCCACTGTTCCAATAATATCAAGTGTAAACATTACCTGTGCCAACAGCCGATAACATTCCACCTTAGCTCTCGTTAAGTCATTGGACAGCTGTTTCGTAGAAGACATATGTATAGTTTCTTCTTCTTGAATCTCTTTGATAAAATTTACAGCTTCTTTCACTACTAAAGTGGTCTAGACGTATTGGAAAACCATATTTAAATTATTAGCACAAACAGTTCTATCAAATAAGTATTTACAGAATAAAAGAAATCTAATGGTGTTTTCACGACCGGCTTTACTTATCAATTTGACAATCTGTTACATGTTGCTATGTCTACTAGTTTTGGATTTTACATACATCACCAACACTTAAGTTACAACCATGGTGATCAATAAAACTGATCATAACTTCAATCAATCTCTGAGTTAACACTAGCCTTTCAACCACCTAAAAGATCTTTACATAGTTTTATCATTTCCACACCAGTCATTATTATAACAATAATATACTGTGATTGTGTAAATAATGCTAACTTCTAATCAAAGTAATTTTGTTAGGGAGTGGCCAAGGTTCCCCGGAGGGGATAGTGTGAAATTGTAAATTAAATAAAAAATTCATATACATATAGTGAATGAATAAAGGGTTATGTTTCACATTTTCAATGTATGTACTTAGAATGATACTAATAATCAACATGTCCTTTGATATAGCTAACTAAGTATACTTTTCTTATGTTTCTAATTATAAAGATTAGAATTAACTATTTCATCAGTTGGGTATCTTGCCGTTAATGATACTTTCAGCCATAGTATCAATAATATCTCATGAGGTTTGGCCAGCTTAGCGATTTAATTTAGTAATAAAAATATAATAGTAAACAATAAATCAAATAATAGTAATTACATTAATTTACTGGATCTTATAACCAATACTGTTAGTGAAAGCAACAATAAAAAATATTATATTTTATCTTACTTATGAAACACACACACACACACACACTGGTTCATGTCTTGAACTGTCATCTTAGAAGTATACTTCAGTGGAAATAGAAATCTATCATTTCCACACCAGCAAATTGTATAATATACTTTGATTGTGTAAGTTTAAATCATAAAAGTAATTTTTACCATTTTCACATCAGCCACTATAATAGTGATAATGAACTTTGTTTAATCGAGGTAGTAACAGGAAGTGGAACAGAGAAAAAACATTACCAATCAAGGTATCAACAGGAAGTGGAACAGAAAAAACCCATTACCAATCAAGGTAATAACAGGAAGTGGAACAAAGAAAAAACATTACCAATCAAGGTAATAACAGGAAGTGGAACAGAGGAAAAACATTACCAATCAAGGAGTTTGAAATCTAATTTAAAACCGACCATGGGTTATTGGTAAGTTGGTAACTAACTTGAACATATTCTCCGTTCTCCAAGGCAGCTTCCCCAGACTGCAGAAGATACATTAATGACATATGTTTCTTTCCAATCATCTTCCAGTGCCAAGCCATTTCACTAAGCACGGTAACCTTCACAACATGACAGGTACATTCTCTTAAGTCTGTTCTTGTTATTTCATCCTCCTCTTCTTCATCTTCATCATCATCTTTGCTAAAATGAAAGTTAATATATATATATATATATTTGATCTAACTGTCCATAGATCAGGAATGTTCCTCTAAATAAAACTAAGTGATTTTAATACAGAAATTGTTTGTGTTTTTACAGTATACCAGTGAAACAAAACACAGAGTTTCATCATGACTAAATGTTATGTTAGTTATGTAAAACTTATATATAAAGCTTTATGTAAAACTACTATAACAAAAAACAAGTGGAAAGGTAATGTGAGCACTTGATGCCAAGTTGTAGTAAATACAATTTTAAACAGCTGATACCTATAGCTTAACTCACATGTTCCATTGATATTGTAAGTAATTAATTAATTATACAGAGTTTATTAAGTAAACAGTAGTAGCACAATAAAGTTATTCATTTTACATCAACACAGAATAAGGAAGAACACAAACTTATTAGGAGATACACTTATCTTTATTAGAATGATTTTTTTGGAGGGTTTCATAATCGTAATCATTACTTTGTAAATAAACGCGATGGTCCTGATTGGTTTTTGGTGTAGTTTTAGGGCCTGTTGCTGTCCTAGCCACTCTGTTGTGTGTTTTTTTTTAATGTTCTCTGATGTAACACTTACTGTAGGACATTTATTTATTCAGAAAGAGTGACCACATAAACTTCCAACCATCAGTTAAGAATTAGAAGCATTTACAAATCTAACCATTGTCTTATACCTGCCTTTTGACCATAATGCTAGAAGAATCCCAATGCTTAGAGAAAATCTGTATTTAATTTGCATATGTGTTCACCTTCAAACTCGGCTAGCAACAACTCAGATCAGCACCAAGATTATAAGAACTAGTAACAAGAGTAAGTGTGAAATACCTAGTGTTCAATAGATCAAAGTTAATGTAACATAAAGTTTAGGGACAACAACCAAGATTATAAGAACTAGTAACAAGAGTAAGTGTGAAATACCTAGTGTTCAATAGATCAAAGTTAATGTAACATAAAGTTTAGGGACAACAAGGGACCTATTGGTCCATCTTGGCTGTCCCATCCTCTAAATTAAACTAAAACTATTTAATACATAAATTTAAAAAAATAAAAATCTTAAAGCCAGCTCTTATCATTCATATAGTTTTCAAGCTTTCTCTTAAACTCACTTAAATTTACTGCCTCCACAACATCCGAAGGCCAGAGACCAACCACCTTGTTAGAAAGATAAAAACTGTCTTTGCTAAAGATGACTCCTATCTTGCCAAAATTTATATTTGTGTCCCCTAGTCCTACTATTCTTGCTGTTAAGTATGAAAAAAAGATGATACATCAACACTATCAATTCCCTTTACAATCTTAAACACCTCAATCAGATCTCCTCTAACTCTTATTTTTTCAAGAGAAAACAATTCGAGAGATTTCAACTTTTCCTTGTATGACAACCCCCTCCATCCCAGGTACCATTCTAGTAACCGTTCTCTGAACCTATTCAAAAAATTCAATGTCTTTTCTAAGGTAAGGAGCCTAAGACTTAACTCAGTACTTTAAATGTGACCTATATAATGAAATTATATCCTCTTTAGACTTCTATTCAATATTTCTGTAGATACAACCTAAAATCCTATTT